ATTCTGGGAGTTGAAGTCCACAAGTCTTGAAGTTGCCAAGGTTGGAGACCCCTGGCTCTATTGCTTATCCTGAGCCCAGCCCTGGTTAAGAGAATAAGCAGCTGTTTTGGTCCATCTCAAAAGCTTGAGCGTGGAAGGGAGAAGGTGAAATCGAGGCGCTTACTTGTGACACCTCCTGGGGTGGGGGAAGGAATTGGGATTGTTGGTTGGAATTGGGTTCGAGTTCTTTGTAAGAAGCCTCGCCTATCTGTGGTGGGCAGAGCCAGGGAAGCCTTGATAAGCGAAAGACCTCTGCATGCTCTCTGCCCCTTAGATGGTCAGCCCAAGAGTGGGGATTGAGAAAGGGGTGGATTCTCCCAATTATGAAGAACGGCCACTCTCGCAGAGAAATGGGCTCAAAGAACTTCTCAAAGGTGGGACCTCAAGGGTGAGTCAGCTACAGCTTGTATTGAGCCAAGGGTTAATGGACTGAGATGCCCCCTGTACAAAGAGGAAAAAAAATATCTGATATGATTGCCAAGATTTCTCAACAGTGTCTGAAGGGCTCTGCGCCAGTTCAAACCTGATAGTTGGGCTACAAGGGCCAAGAATGACACGTGGAGTTATTCAAGAGTTGAGTTCCTTTATTATTCTTCCCTTATAAACAGGCTCTTGCCAGACTAAAGTAGCTATCTGCGTAACTGCAGATAAATTCTGGAAATCGCTAGGAAGGAGCTGTTTTAACCCTCCACCAAACTTTCCAAGCCCCGCTACCTCTTTGCCATCTGGGATGCAGTCTCTCCCTCCTGGGAATCCAGACTACATCCCATCGTAAATTAAACCAATTAATAGAAAAATTAAGAATTTATTCTGTTCTATGTTTAGCAAAGCCTCTTTTAAATTTTTTTTTAAAAAAGCTTGTATATATGGGCAGTATGTGAGTAATAAGCACAATAAGTAATAAGGCAGGACAAGAAACAGCGGATGGAAACTACTCAAGGAGAGAAGCAACCTGGAATTAAGGAGAAACTTCCTGACAGGGAAAACAATTATCCGGTGGAACAACTTGCCTCCAGAAATTGTGGGTTCTTCATCACTGGAGGTTTTTACAAAGAGACTGGACAGCCACTTGTATGAAATTATATAGGGTCTCCTTCTTGAGCAGGGGTTGGACTGGATAGATGACCTCCAAGGTCCCTTCCAGCTCTATTCTGATTAATTTATTATCACTTCCTACTGATCAATAGGCATCACATCATGAAGTCTTGCTTTGCATTCGAAAACTTGACTTAGGTGAGAAAAACGGCTATTTCTCTGTCCATCAAAGCAGAGCCCAATTGGGTAGCCTAGGAAATTAAGGCACATCTAGAAGAAGAAATTTGTCCACAGCATTTTGGATATCACGGGGCACGTCCCCGAATCTCTGCTGTCTCAGCAGGGGGCATTTTTGTTGGGGACAAAGCCACCATGGAAGCCGTAGGGGATCTGGACAGGGATTTTAGTGCGGCCCAGTTCGGTGAAATTCTGTGCATCCAGAACAAGAAGGAAGCTGCCTTCGTTCTGAAAGAAAGAGGGATATATTAGTGGTGCCTCCCCGTGCAAAGCATCTGTTTCCTCTGCTCTTTTGGGGGTCTAGAGAAGAAAAGTAAATCATGTTCGCTTTTACATGCTCCAAAAAATCCCAGCATTTGGAAACCCCAGATGTCCTGCAGCGTTCACAAGAAAAATCCATTTTCAGCCATCGAAAAGGACTATTCAAAGAGTAGACCTTGACCTCTGCCACGAGGCCTAAGTTACCTGCTTGGGGGTGAGCACCACCGAGAGGATCACTCCCTTGTCTTCTGTCCCTGAAGAATCCGGTTCCGGCACAAATATCGGCTCAGAAGGATACATCCCTTTCTCGCGCCAAATCTGGTGGACAAAGCGAAGGGCACAGAAGGGTATTTTTCTCAGGAGCTTTCGAGGTGGAATTCCATCCCCACCACACCAGTAACAACAACCAGAAGAGCATCGCTGGGCCCTTCTCACCTTCATCTCCTTGGTTTCTGTATCAACCTTGATCAAGCAGTCTCCAATGACATGACCGAAGCCGCAGCCATAGAAATAACGATATTTTTTCCCAGAGTAATGTGCATAATTGATCTGAGGGAATTCCAGCCCTCCGGCTTCTTTGAGGTCCTCGTTGTGCAGACTTTCAGGTGTGCACCAGATCTAGAAAAGTCAGTGTGGAATCAATCACGTTGTAGAATCCTTATCCATCTACTACTTGAACTTGCAAAGTTTCTCCAGGAGCCTTTCCTGGCACCCAATACTTTCTGTTTTGGGGCCCTGCCACTCGAAGCGTACAGGTAGTCCTCAAATTACAACCAGGATTAGGACCAGAATTTCCATCGCTAAGGTGGTTATTAAGTAAGCCATGCCCAATATTATGGCCTTTTTTACCCCGGTTCTTAAGCAAATCACTGCAGTTCTTAAGTGAATCACATGGTTGTTAAGTAAGCCTCCCCATACGGACAGAGTTTGTTGGAAACTGGCTGGGAAGGTCACAAATGACAATCACGTGACCGGAGATGCGGCAATCTCCATAAAGCATCCAAATTTTGATCATGTGACTGAGGATTGCTGCGATGGTCATAATTGCAAGGATTGGTCATAAGTCACTTTTTTCAGCATCGTCGTGACTTTGAACAGTCGATAAAGGAACGGTTGTAAGTCAAGGACTACCCCTAGATGGTCTCATCCTCTGGAGGCAACACGCTATTTTTTCTGAAAAGGCTTTCCTTTTTAGTTGAATTGCAGAATTACTGCCGTGGTCCTTCAGGCCTTCAGTTCCATCTCCACCTCCTTGGGAGTAACGGCATCTTGCAAAGAGGGGAGTGTTTTTTCTCTCTCTCTCTGTTAGAAAATGCCACCTCTTCCCTGCAGCTCTGCGTATCCCTTGCACCGCTGGCACAAAACCTGAGCGATGGCAAGGCCGTTGATCCAACCCCTGCTCAGTTCTGCAACCTAATCACACCCGGTGGCTGACTTACCTTTGCATGAAGGTAGTTAACCCACCACCACCTCTCCGAACAACCTTAAAATCTCGGTTTGAAGAGCAATTGATAAGGTGGGGAGGCGAGTCTCTTGGAAGCAAGCAAGTTTACCATGAGCAGGGAGAGAGGGATCGACTTCCAAACTTCGGGTGTACGTTCTTAACTTTCTTGTATGAAATGAGCTCTACCTCGCCGCAAGGCTCTTGAGCGTCCCAGATCAAGAGCCTTCTTTGGATGAGTTTAAGCTTCAACCCACGATACCTTCGATCCAAGTTCTCCACAGCTTCATTCAGTTAGTCTTTGGGGGAAAATGGTCCCATTTATGGAACTCCCACTATTTTTCCCAAGTCTAGCCGCCAAGTCTGTTGCAGGAGGGTGAGATTTCCAAAGGATAACAAGAAAAAATGGAATGCTTTCATTCTTTCTAAATTACGCACACAGAGACACAGACACAAATTGCCTACCTTCCCATCCGCCTCCTTCACGGCTTCTGCCAATGTGTAGGACAAAGGGTTAAGGTTCTGCCCCACAGACGCCTTGGAGCTCACCGTGATGGGGAGAACAAAGCGTCGTGGAAATGGCTTTGGGAACAGGTTATAGGTCTGCCAAGACAACGAAAAAAGCCATTGCACAGAGAAACAGATCCACGTTCTGTGATCACGCCACAGAGATGAAGAGCAGGACAGCCAAGCGGGGAAGAGAACTTCTCCGCCTCCCTGTGTTCCTTCCCCTCAGAATCCCACCCGTGTCGAGGACTGGAGCACCCCTGGGAGATACCAAGCTGGCCTGCAAGATGAAGCTCCCTCTCAGTGCCCACAAGGTGGAGGGGAGGGCAGAGCAGCGGTACCTGGTCAAGGGCTTCTCCAGCCTTGTGGAGGTTCTGCAGTCGGAAGATGTCAAAAACGTTCCCATCATCGAAACAGCAGAGATCCAGGACAATGCACCCCTGGTCCTCAAAGGCGTTGATTTGATGGAAGTAGCAGAAGGCCTTGCTATGGTACTGCACAGGTAAGGTCTGCGACAAGAGGGGAAGGCGTGGGGGTGAATTCCTGCTCTTCGGGGACACCCAAACAATCGGCCCTGGGCACAACTTCTTTAAAATCTTTCCTTATGTACCAGGCTGATTCTTGAAAGGATTTTAACAGAGGGCAAAGCAAAAAAGTTTAGAAGTCATCTTTCCTAATCTGACATTCTCCAAAGATCTCAGGAGCTCAACTCCCCCACCATTCTCAGCCACTCTGGCCAATAGCATAGAGGCATTCTGGGAGCTGCCACCCCCAAAATAATCTGGGGAAAACTTTGGTTTGCTCGTTGATACCTTCTACCACCCAGGATGAGAAGAGCAACAGTCTCGTCTGCCCGGCCCTGCAGACTCCAGAGAAGGCATATCAGGAAGTTACCGGGTCCAACCAAACAGGCGACCTACCTGCCCCGTGTGCTTGTTCACGACGTAAAAGCGAGTGTTTAGCTGAGGCTCCCAAGTCAGTGCATCCAGAAAGCATTTCCCAGAAAAACGGGCTGTCATGACTTCCCATAACTTTATTTGGACGGGCTGCTCAATAAAAATCACGTAGTTTTCACTCATTCCTAGAAACAGAAGAAGAGTTGGGCCACTTCTTTTCGTGAAGAGCTGATTCCGATTCTTCCATCTAATTACGTGGACTTTTCCAACAACAACCTTGCTTTATCTTTCTACCTGCCAGCTCCATCCTTTGTTGCCAAAACAATTTCAGATTATTCACCATAACGGCCAGTAATTTCAAATTATTCAATTTAACACTCGGTGAAGGTAATGCCTTAGGGTGCTGCTACACCACCTCCTTAGAAATTGCTGTGCTTTTTTTTAATCATCATTTTTTTTCAAAAAAAGGAATTGCCAGACTTCATTTACACAATCCCCCTTCTAGCTTCCAATGGAAGGCCAGCAATTGGGGTACAGCCAGGAGCCAACAATTTTTTGTTCTGCTTCATAGTTTCACTGACATTGTTTTTAAAGCATCTTTCAGGGCATGATTTCAATTTCAATTTGTTATGGCCACCAGCTAGCAAAAGATGTTACATTGTTTTTATATGAACTGCTCTGGTAAATCATTCATGGCTTGGAGCAATGAATTTCATTAATTTAATATTTCCTATTACGTTTCCTGTTCTACTTGATTTTATTCAGGTTGCGTGACAGATCACATCAGTGGCATTCCAAATTATTGGCCCACTTTTCACCATTTCACTTTTGCAACTCCAGCTGCCTCTTTCTGGCATTTCTAGTAAAGATGGTGATGGCCAAAAGGAGGATGGTCCTCTCACCAAAACTGTGATAATAGGCTGGCTTCATTCTGTTCTCTGGCTGAATGGTGCACAACACCTCTGCGCCCTGCAGGCTGGAGTCACTCGGCTGAGACGTCTGGGGAGGAACACGGATGATGTTATAGTTGGAGCCTGTAAGAGAGAAAGCCTGGCTCTTGGGAACTGCAATAATTGAATTTGGAATTGGGGTATGGGCAGCACCCATCCAAGATTTGGAAGGGGAGACCACTGAGATCATGCACTGTCAGAGAAATCCACAGCCACTTCACCTTCAGTGTAAAATTCAGACATATGAGCCATCAGATGTCGCTTCAGGTTTTCCAGGTCCTCTGATCCCGTTAAAAGGGCTGTAGCATCTGACTCAAAGCCTATGCGTCTACTCATTGGAAAAATACTTGTATCATCTTTGATGTTAAGTAACTGTCAGTTTGGCATGAAAAGCCAAGAAGGGCCTGGTTTGGTTAGAAAGGAGGCATACTCACCAATGAAGTCAAAACCATATCCTGAGATTAGTATCTAATTCCAGACATTAAAATGCTGGTCAGATATTTCTGTTTGTCTTACCATGTTTCCCGTAAGAGTTGCCCATGTTGTAGACTGTTCCATCTGGATCATAGTGGGGGTGAGCTGTGGCTCCATTCACCGCAACGTATTTTCTCCAGTTCACCTGCAAGGATAAAGACGGCAGGCAGGTCTTCTTACCTGAGTTGGACACCTTCCAGATAGAACTGAAGCTCTCAGAATTCCCACACCAGCTGAGAGGTCATTGCATCTGGACAGAACCAGAGTAGGGGAAGCTGATCCCAACAAATCATTGTGGAACATGGTCCTCTTTCTGAGTCTAAAAACTGTTTTGCAGGATGGCCGTGACTAGTAGGATGAGGGCAACTACTCTTTCCCAATTAGGTTTCCCAGCAACTGTTCCACAAGGGCGTATCTACTCATGAACCTGGAGACAACATTTGTAGAAGATCCAGATTAAATCCTCAGTATCTCCACAGCTCCTGAAAAACTGCCTGTCAATCCAGATTTAGGTAGTAAGCTAACTCAATGCCAGGTAGCCTGCTCCATTGCTTTACCTTCTCCTTTGATTCAAGTGTGTCTAGATCCACTTTGTGCATTTGACTGGTCTCTGTGCTGACAAAATAGTCACCTTTGATGACCACAAAATTCACAACGCAGTTGTCTGTATTTTCTGCAATACAAAATTCACCTCACTGGATTGTCATAAATTCAACACAGAAAACATTTCCATTGTCACTAAGTTGCCAGGATCAAAAGACTGAAAGTGTAGAAGGAGGAGTGGCAGAACTGGGCGCGGAGTCACTAGAACTTCTACGTAGTCACAAATGGACTTAGTCTGTTCTGCTGTGCCTTTTCTTAAAGCCAATTTCTGTGAAATTGCCAAGGACAGAGTTGGAAAACCAACTTTGTCCAGAAGTTTTCCCCCTCCCCCCTTTTCTTACAAAAAAAAAAAAAAACTGATCCAAAAATGATACTTACTTGACAAGTCAAACTTTGACATGAAGCGCTCAAAAATGTTCTTGCAAGGATCTGGTATGGCCAAGGTGCCAAATTCAGTGATCATGATGCGGTTGTTCTTGCTATTGGTCAGGTAACAATCACTCCGGAGAAACCTGCTGCTGTATTTCACCACCCCACCCTCAATTTCAAACTTATGCAGGAGTGCCATGCCATCAAACCAGTGGTTGTACCTTCATTTGGAGAAGACAAATCCGGCTTAGAGGAAGACAAAGCCATGTGCAAAGCTTACCCCTACCTGTTCCAAGCATCCACTTAGCTGACAAAAAGTGCCCCTTTCAGTATACAGGTGCACACAAAGTGTACCTCAGGTTTTAAAGACTAATTCTTGCAAAGCTGTTACTTTCGAATTGTTAAAAGGGTTATTTCTAAAGAAGGCAACCCTCCCCTCAAAAAAGTTTATTACTAAATCAGCTTTCTCCATGTCCTTCGTTGTCATTATATCTCCCTTAAATCAAGAAAATGTGTACTCAAGGATTCTTTCTACCTAAGACACAACTGATGGGTCAAATTACTGAAGTACATGACTGGAGAAAGTTGATCAAGACTGCAGACCAGAATAAAATTATCTATTGGCTTTTTAATCCTTAGCAGAGCAGACAGCAGCATCCATAGCAATTGAAATAAGCGTACTTATCTGGTCCGAACTCAAACTTTCCTGGCCCGTTCCTCAATAGCTTTCCTTTCAACCATTTGGGAATCTGCCCTTGGAGTTCTACTTGGATCGCTTGAGATGTTTCTTGTACGGTGGAGAATAATGGCGAGATGTATTCTAAGCCCTGCTTGTGGCTATGAGTAACTGGTGCTTTCTGTTTGGACACCAAACTCTTTATCCCTGCAAAGACAAACCAAGCAAAGGGGTTAACATCCAAAAATACACATGCATGCTCTGGAAGTGGTGCATTAAGTTCCATCATCTCCCCAGGAGCGCTTCTATCCACAGCTCTATTTGCACCTGGGTTCAAAAAAGGGTTTGTGGCAATTCTCCTTTTTTATGGGGTGTTGACCAGAGAGGAAAAAGAGATGTCCAAGGCTGGTCTCTGCCTTTCAGAATGAGTGTCACCAATTCAATCAGAATTCATTTATTATGTCTAGCAGGGTTAAGAGAACTAGGAGGGAATTGAAAGGTTCAAAAAGAAAAAGGGGGGCAAAAGAGAGAAGAAATTAACGATGACTTCTGAAAAGCTAATTTGATCTGATCCTGCTTACCAGCTCTTTCCTTCATTCCTACGAAGTCAGATCTGAATTGAATTTGAATTGACATGTCCAGATATTGCTTTAATATCTGAAATTCTTGGGAGTGGAATTCTGTCTCTGCCCCCTCTTGCCCCATAAAGTGCTAATGTCATAAAAACAGAGTATTTTTTTCAGACTTTAGTTTAGAAGAAAATGCAACCATTTTTAGAAATCTTTGGTTTGGAGAACCAAAAAAAACAAGGAGTTCAAATGATAAAGCTGACAAAGGCTGACAATTAAATTAAAAATCAAACCACATTGTTTAATCCTGCTTTTTGGATCACTACCATGATGAAATATCCCTTCTCCAATAATAATAATAATAATAATAATAATAATAATAATAATAATAATAATAATAATAATAATAATAATAATAATAATAATAATAATAATAA